ATAAGAAAACATACAAAAGCAAAAATCTCATTGGGAAAGGTAAAAACATAGTAAAGGTAGATCACTCACTTATAAAGCAAGTATGAAGATTAAAAACCAAAAAGAGTAAAATTAATTAAAATGCAATAATTAGTTAAGGGATGCTAAAATAAAAGTGCAAAATGACACATCAAAAATATAAAAACTGGGGGTAGTGGGAAAAATGTAAAGTTTTGGAATGTGTTCAAATTTAAGTTACTATCAACTCAAAACGGACTGTTATATACATAGTAAGTTATATGTGAATGTCACGGTAACCACAAAGCAAAAACTTCTAATAAGTACACAAGAGAAAATGTAAAAAAAATCTAAACATACAATGAAGAAAGCCATCAAACCACAAGAGAGTAGACAAAGAAAAGGAACAGAAAAGAGCTTTGAAAACAATTAACAAAATAGTAGTAAATATATACCTATCAATAATTACTTTAAATGTAAATGGACTAAACTCTCTAATGAAAAAAAGATGAAATAAATGAATAGACTTAAAAAAATGACCCATCTATACGCAGCATACAGAAGACTTACTTCAGAAGCAAGTCCAGAAACAGACTGAAAGTGAAGGGCTAGAGAAAGATATTCCATGCAAATGGAAACAAAAATAAAGCTGAAGTAGCTGTACTCACATTAGACAAAACAGACCTTAAAAGACTGTAATAACAGACAAAGAGCATTACACAATGATAAAAAGGTCCAATCCCAAAAAGACATAACGTTTAAAAATATATATGCATCTAACACAGAAGCAACAAGATAGATAGAGTAAACATTAACAGACCAAAAGACAGGAATGGACAGTAATACAGTAATAGTAAGGGACTTTAACACCCTACTTACATCAATGGATAGATCATCCCAACAGAAAATCAATAAAAAACATCAGCCTTAAACAACACATTAGACCTGACGAACTTAGATATTTATAGAACACACCATGCAAAAGGAACAGAATACACATTCTTCTCAAATGCATATGGAATATTTTCCAGAACAGACCATATGTTACACTACAAAATAAGACTCAATAAATTCAAGAAAACTGAAATCATATCACGCATCCACTATGGCCACAATGCTATAAAAACTAGAAATCAATTACAAGAAGAAAACTGGGAAAACTACAAATATTTGGAGATTAAATACTACGCTACTGAACACCACTGAATCAAGAAAGAAAGAGAAATAAAAAACAAAACAAAACACCTAGAGACAAATGAACAGAAATATGACATAGTACAATCTATAGGATTCAGCAAATGTAGTTCTAAGAGGGAAGATCAGAGCAATATAGGCCTACCTCAAGAAACCAGAAAATCTCAATCTAACTTTCCACATAAAGGACCTGGAAAAAGAAGAACAAATGAAGCCCAAAGTCAAGAAAAATAAGGAGATAATAAAATCAGAGAAGTAAATAACAGAGACACATAAAATAAATACATACATACGTAAATAAAACTAAGACCTGGTTCTTTGAAAAGATAAAGAAACTTAAACCTTTATGAGAAAGAGAGGGCTCTAGTAAACAAAATCAGAAATGAAAAAAGTTTTAACTGACCCCACAGAAATACAAAGGATGAGGAGCAACTACTACAAATATATGCCAACAAATTGGAAAAGGTAGAAACAATGGAAAAATTACTAGAAACAATCTTCCAAGGCTAAATCACAGAGAAATAGAAAATCTGAATAGACCAGTTACTATAAGATTGAATCGGTAATCAAAAATCTATCAATGAACAAAATTCAGGACTAAACAGCTTCACTGGTGAATTCTACCAAATATTCAAAGATTTAATAACTATCTTTTTCAAACTCTTCCAAAAAATGGAGAGACTAATTCCAAAATCATTTCATGAGGCCAGCCTTACCCTGATACCAAAACCAAATGTGGAAATCACAAAAAAATGTCATTATAAACCTATCATTGATGAACATTCATTCAAAAATCAACAAAACATTAGCAAATCAAATTCAACAGTACATTAAGAGGATCAAACACTATGATATCAAATGACATTTATTACAGGGATGCAAGGATGCCTCAACATCCACAAATCAAACAATGTGATACACCACATTACCAAACTAAGGACAAAGATCATATTTCAACAGATACAGAAAAACCATCTGACGAAATCTAACATCTACTTCTGATAAAAACCCTCAACAGAGGGTTGAGGTACAGAGGCACCATGGGTACAGAGGCACCATTAGTCAACATAAGAAAAGATATAATGACATAGGCACAGCTAACGTTATACTCGATGGTAAAGAGCTGAAAGCTTTTCCTCTAAGATCAGTAAGAAGACAAGAATGCCCACTCTTGCCACTTTTAGTAAGCATAGTATTAGAAGTCCTAGCTACAGCAATTAGGCCAAAAAAATAAAAAGAAGCAAGGATGGAAGGAAGGGAGGGAAGGAGGGGGGAAGAGAATGTATCCAAACTGGAAAGGAAGAAGTAAAACTGTCACTATTTCCAGATTACAGGAGAGTACATGGCGATAAGCCAAAAGACACCACCAAAACAATTGTCAGAATACATGAATTCGGTAAAGATACTTGACAAAGACTTTATAAACACACAAAATCAATATATAGAATTGTAGCATTTCTTATATACTCATAATGACTTATTAGAAAGAGGAACTAAGAAAATAATCCCATTTACAGCTGCATCAAAAAGAATAAAACACCTAGAAATAGATTTAACGAAGGAAGTGAAAGACCTGTACACTGAAAACTGTAAGACACTAATGAAAAAAACTGAACATGACACACAAAAAAGAAAAATATTTTGTACTCATGGTATAGAAGAATTAATGCTGTTCAAGTCTCCATACTATCCAAATCAATCTACAGATTCATTGCAATCTCTATCAAAATTCCAAGAACTAGAACAAATAGTTCTAAATTTTGCATGGAACCCCCCCCAAAAAAAAACCCAAATAGTAAAAGCAATCTTGAGAAGAAATGACAAAGTTGGAGGTATCATGCTCCCTGATTTCAAAGTATACTACAAAGCTATGGTAATCAAAACAGTATGGTATCAGCATAAAAAGAGACACACTGATCAGTGGAACAGAATTGGGAGCTCAGAGTTACACCCACACCTATATGGACAATTATTTTACAACAGAGGAGCCGAGAACATGCAATGAAGAAAAGGACTGTATCTTTAATAAAAGGTCTTGGAAATACTGAACAGCCAAATAGAAAAGAATGAAACTGGACTACCAGCTTACACCATACACAAAAATGAATTCAAAATGGAATAAAGAGGGTGCCTGGGTGCTCAGTCAGTTAAATGTCCAACTTCGGTTCAGGTCATGATCTCACAGTTCGTGAATTTGAGCCCCACGTCAGGGTTTGTGCTGACAGCTTGGAGCCTGGAACCTGCTTCAGATTCTGTGTCTCCCTCTCTCTCTTTGCCCCTCCCTTGCTCTCTCTCTCTCTCTCTCAAAAATAAACACTACAAAAATATATACAAAATGGATTAAAGACTTGAATGTAAAACCTGATGCCATAAATTTCCTAGAAGAAAACACAAGTGGTAATAAGCTCCCTGACATCAGTCTTAGCGATATCTGTATGGCTCGGACTCCAAAGACAGAGAAACAAAAGAAAAAAATAAACAAATTATATCAAAATAAAAAGCTTCTCCTCACCAAAAGATACCATCATCAAAATGAAAAGCAACCTACTGAATGGGAGAAAGTTTTTGCAAATCATGTATCTGACAAGGATTTATCCAAAATACATAAAGAATTCACACAACTCAACAACAAAAAATACAAACCATCCAATTTAAAAAGTGGGCAGGTGATATGAATAAACATTTTTCCAAAGAAGACATACAAGATGGCCAAGAGGCACAGGAAAGACGCTCAACATCTGTAATTATCATGGAAATACAAATCAAAACTACAATGAGATATTATCTTACACCAATTAAAATGGGTATTATCAAAAAAGACAAGAAATACCAAGTGCCGATGAGGCAGTACAAAGAAGGGAACCATCACATACTGTTGGTGGGAACGCAAAGTGGTGCAGCCAACATTTGGAGATCCCTCAAAAAATTAAGAACAGAACTACTCTATGATCCAGCTCTTCCACTTCTGGATGTGGTAATTACCTGAAGAACACAGAAACATTGATTCGAAAAGGTATAGCCCCCCTTTTGTTCACTGCAGGATTATTTATAATAGCTAAGAAATGGAAATAACCTAAATGTCCACCGATAAATTAATGGATAAAGAAGATGTACGTGGGGTGCGTGTGCCTGTGTAGTAGTATGTATAGTGTACATATACTACAGCCCTAAAAAAAAAAAATTAAATCTTGCCATTTGAGACAACATGCATGGACCTTAGAAATATGTTATGCTAAGTGAAATAAGTCAGAAAAAGACAAATAGACAATATGATTTCACCCATAGGTGGAATCTAAAAAACAAAAAAACAAACAACGAAACCAAACTTAAAAGAGAACAGACTGGGGTTTACCAGAGAGGAAGGGGGTGACGGGGTAGCTGGAATGTATGAAGAAGGGTGATGGATGGTAACTGGACTTTTAGTGGTGATCACTTGGCAGTGCATACAGATGTACAATTATAACGTACATCTGAAACTTCACATAATGTTATACGGCCAATTTTACTTCGATAAAAAGAAAAATGATAGGAAATTTAAAAAGGACAGAACCAAGACCTGAATACAGCCGTTCAATGAGTCAGTAAGACAGAGGAATAGCCTTCTGGCTAGCAATGCAATATTGCAAGGGGTCCTGTAGAACCCACTCATCACCGTAAACAGGGCTGACCATCTGATATTGGTGATGGCATCCATCTATCCCAGGTTGTTCTCATGCAGTTCTTACGGTTACAGATGAGTGGAGGCATTTAAGAGTTATAATAGCACTAACTCCAAACAGTAGTCAAATAACAGTCAAAACTCAAATTACTTAGGGTAAGAAGCCTGAGTCTGCTGAGTGGGAAGGGCTGGGTTTACAGATGGCGGAACAGCTCCTTGGCTGAGAGAAGACAGCTGCTCTGGGGGAAGACTGTAGCTCCTGAGATGGCTCATCTGTGCGCTCCCTGCAACCAGGTAAGCACCACTCTGAGGCGGCCCTGGGTACACCTAGAACAGGTCATGATTTAAAAAAAAAAAAAATTAGACTTTCTAAGATTTTAACAGGTGTGCCAAAATTTCTTTGTAGAGGCATTCAGTTACAAAGTGAACAATGAAAGCTCCAAAATCTTTTTAAAAGTTACTTCTTTTGACAGGTATTTTAAAGAATACTTTTCAGTGAAGTGGGCTTTCTGATCATTTTTGTTCTTAGGTAAACAAACCATGAGCTACACTCAGGTTTGTTTCATACAGAAACAATAAAGGAACTTATCTTGAAACTAATATTCTCTCTCTTTCCACACTGATATTTTAAGTACTTTCATAAAAGGAATCTCAAAAAATGTTTAAGAAGTCTCTTTGAATTCAGTTTTATATCAATAGACTGCATGTGCTTATAGATACAATTTGTATTTCCTAAATTACAGTTTAGTGAACACAGAGCAAGCTAACTTTCTAAAGCAGCGATGAGCAAAAACATTTTTGCAAGTCCAGATAGTAAATACTTTAGGCCTTGTGGGCCTTTCTGTCACAACTACTGAACCGCCCATATAGAAAGTAGCCGGAAACAATGTAAAAACAAATGAGAAGGGCTGTTATAGCAAAGGTTTATTCAAAAACAAAAACAAACACAAAAAACAGGTGGGAGGTTGGAATTGGCCCTTGGGCTATGCATCCAGAAAGAGTATTTTAATCTAATGGGACTGATCTCTTAAATGCCCAAAATCTAAAGCACACAAAATATTCTAATTTTCTATAGTATTCATTCAATCTTTCCATTTCACATGTTTGAAAAGAGAACTGTCTATGTGGTGAGATTTTTGCCAGCTGTTAAGATAGTAACACAGTCATCAGGAGAGAAGACAATCATCTTCATTTAAGCCCTAAGAGACTGACCATACATACATCAGAATACAGAAGGTCTTCACTATAAACAGAGGTATTCCAGTCCTCTTAAAAGCATTTTTTTTTGTATTTGCAAATGAAACATGAAGAGGAATTTTTTTTGCTAAAACCGGTATCAAGAGCCGTGAGTAGGTGTCATCTAGCCTCACACTGGACAAGTGTGGCTGGTCCACTCCAGGGATCTGGTCCCTCATTTCGAGGAAAGTGGGCCATGTTATAAGAAAAAAATTAATTTGCACAAAGTTTACGCCACCCACATAAATAAAATGGAATGCATGGCTAGGTCCCTATACAGTGACCATACTGAGTTTGTGGGAAAAGGGCTCTTGAAATAGTCACTTAAGGTGAATAAGGAGGATGCATTCTATGCCTTCTCATGTAAAGGAAGATGGAAACATTCAGATTAAAGCCACTTACTATAAAACCCAAAACTGTAGATTCTCAGAAAAAATTCGTAGTAATTAAACAATTTACTCAGACAGAAGAGACATGGTTCTTAACCAGATAATTATATATGAAGCTTTAAAAATATACAGATGTTTCGGCCTTTCTCTTGAACATTCTGATTCAGTAGTCTGGGGTGGGGAGAAGCAACCTGTATTTTTTTTTAAATGTTTGATTCTGATGCACACCTTTGAAGAAAAATAATATTGTGAAAAGAATTACTGGAATAATTAGTATATTATACACTGTATTTGTCAAGTAAAAAATTCTTTTAAACTTTGTTCTAAGCATTACTTTTAGAAAGTTTCAAATCTTACAACACAGCTATTCCAAATAATCTCAAACACAGTTGAGAATTTAAAATGATATACTTGAATTTTTAAAAGCTTACCTGAGAACCAGAAACACCAGATGACTGCATATAATACTGCTGATTCTGTAATTTTGCATACATGGAATACATTGGATCTTCATTCATTAACTTGGTATACAATGAAAGTGCTTCCATCACTTTAACATTAAGTTCTGAGAGTTCTGAATGTTTTCTGAAATATTACAGAGTAATTTCAAATACAATTGCTAATTAAATGATACAATGTTCTAAATACGACCACACACAAAAATAGCAAAAAGTAATATAAGTACACATTACTTTAACCTTATGACAGAAAATATCCTGTATTCTAGCTCCAGGGCAACCAAAACTATCTAAGGTACGGTGCTGGGAGAACTCTAGCTTATTGTACTTGACTTTATCTTGAAATAACTAGGTATCCCTAATAAATAACAGATGGGTGAGTCATCTGTGGGCTCTGGTAATGTCACTTATGGCATTACAATGATTAGAACAGCTAAGTATTATTTTTTAAAAAGACTAATATAATTAAGATCAAATAAATTCTCACTTAA